CATCCAAAATAAAAGTTTGTTTTTACATAATATATGTGGGTGCACTGTGTATAATTATTTATATACTGTATATAAATTCACACACATTCATGTATATTTAAGAAAAAAATATTATTTATATATAAAATAGTTATATTTATATATAATATATATTATATATAAATCTATGTACAGTATACACATGGAAATATTTCTTAAATATATACAAGCATGTGTGTGTGTATTTATATATATAAATAATTATACACAGTGCACCCACATATATTATGTAAACACAAACTTTTATTTTGGATGCGATTAATCATTTGACGGCCTTAATAATTATATATATATAATATATATTATGTATTTATACAGTATTTACGTGCAGATAATTCTTAAATATATACATGCATGCATATGTATTTATATCTACAAAATAATTATACACAGCTCACACATATATTATGTAAACACAAACTTTCATTTTGGATGTGATTAATCGCAATTAATCTTTCCACATCCCTAATTATTATAGTATTTTATTATTATTTTTGTTGTATTTATAACATTTATATTATATTTATATTAAATAAGAATGAAAGCAATCAGAAAAGGCTCAAATATTAATTTGATGTCAGGTTAAAAATAGAGAAAACGAGGGGCGAAAGGAGGCATTTTTAATGCTAAAGTTGCTAGTTGTTTATCATGGAAGTTTTCCGAGTTTAGATGGCTTGTGTCAGATGGCACTTATGAGTACTGTATTCCCGCTTGGAACGACATTGACTAACATGGATCATCGCCTGCTGAGCACGCTTGCATTAACAGGCGTCTCAGACCTCAGTGCATCATGGGTAGCAGAGAAACGAGGAAGAAAAAGGGCTTTTGGCGAACGCCGCTGTAGCATCAGGTGGGTCTGATGGCTGTCTGAGCACAAATGAACAAACATTTGAAAAAAACAACAGAAGTGAAGCGTGCTGCAGTTTGTTCTTGAAAGGTGAGAGTGAGCAGGTTTATTTCCAGCTCCTGCTGATATCGTGTCTCTGTAGACGATGCAGGGAGCAAAGATGCTGTTTGTGATGTGTCAGATGTCAAAACTATTAATAAAAAAAGCTTTTCCTTTATGTTCTCCTACTGTTACGGCTGCTAAAACTTAAGCACAACTTTCTGTAAATGCTCGTCGGCGGTGAAGTTTGTTCACTCAGGCAATTAGTGATGCTGTTGTTCACATTTAAGAGTTTGATCTCATCTGATTTCTGTCTGAGAAAGTAGAGTCTCTAAATTTCAGTCACTCATAATAGCGTAAAGACACTCTATATATGTAATTTAAAAGCTTACAATCTCTTGTTTCCATATTTGATGACTGATTTTCAAAATAAATTACACAGGAGCCATAATTTATCAATTTGCAACAACAATATTTTCATACTCCTAAGGCGCGTTCAGACTTTTATTTTGAAATAGCAATAAAAATCATGAAAAAAATGGTTGAAACCTCAGTTTGTTTTCATGCCAAGAGTTCAAAAGATTGCATCCATTCAATTATTTTCTTTATTTAAAAAAAAGGTCTGAAAATGTTTTAAATATAAGGAAAAATAATAATAAATGTACCATTTGTGATGTGGCACATGCGTGTTCTTTGTATGTGTTTCATATCAAAATCTGCCAAACTTTCTATACTACTTCTGAATAGGATCTCTACTTCATAAATTGTGTGAAAATTGTGTAAATAGTGGTTCATATCACTCAAAACACATGGGCAGTAATGGAGTCTGGTGGTGCCCTAGTGGAAAAGTTTGGTACTGCACCCAAACACGCTCTCACTGAAAGATCATTTTTTTGAGATATCAACCTACAATTTTAAACACAACTTGTTCCGATTTTTGGCTTTGATTTTTAACAGAGCGCAGTAGTAAAACAACAAGTCTAGGCTACTAGTGAGTCTCCGTGATGAGTCTGCCCGAAAATGTGTTTCGAGAACGCCCAAAATGTCTGGGATTCGGCTTTTGCGTTCTACAGTCGCCATTCCTCATGTTTACTGTGGCGAGCGGGACGAGTGAGGGCCGCGGGAGAACGGGGCGAGGCCGGTGGCGTGATTACCGATGAGCCTGCTAGCTTAGCTTCCAAAAAAAGATGGCCGACACTATGTGTTCATTCTCTGAGGTTGAGGACATGCGGGACAGACCCGACTACTGACTGTAGTCTTCAGCCTCTAGACAAAAAAAATCCTCTAATGACGCAAAATGGCGATTTTTGCGTCATCGGAGGATATTTTTCCAGACAAAAAATACATAAATCTCTCGTCTCAGGGGGATATGACATGAGGGTGGAAAGCACGGTAATTCAAAAATACTACAGGCTTTCTACTAATCCTGAAGTATCCCTTTAATTCCAAACACACAGTCCTACGTATTTATTTAGATGTAGGGTCATTCATTTAGCACACCAGCTCTCGTAGATAGACGACCATTCTAGTCATCAAACATTCGCGAAGCTTGTTATTGGCTTGAAAGCATCAGGGTTTGATGGCTCTTCTAGATGTGTTTTTGTCACTCAGATGTTCTCAGTCAGATTAGCTGTGCTCTGCTTACAGCTAATAGAGGTTAAATGAACCATCACAGTCCACCAAACTCTTCCCGGCCCTGAACAATTATGGCTTAACTGCTCTCTGTAAATGAATTCTATAAAAAAAGATAATTGGTGATCATGTTGATCATTGGTGTTTCTATTTTAGTGCCTTGCCAGTTAACCCTTAAAGACCTATACAGCCGCCGGCGGCTAAAAATAACTGTTGTTCTTAAATGTTAAATAACTTTTGAACCGCTGCTCCAATCCGTATGCTTTAAAAAGTCCCATAAAGAGGAGATTCGCGGCTTTTCTGTGATATCGGCTTAATCGCGTTTGGACATTCAGAAGCTCCGTAGTGAATGTGATTGCGTCATCAAGTTTTGATCAGCATTGATTCGTCAAAGAAACCCGTGCGTTTTTTTCCTCTGAGCCAATCATAAATGACTGTTAATGCTTAGTCCCACCCCATCCCCAGATTGGTTAAAACTATCATCTAAGTTTTATTTATATATAAGTTTTTTTTTTTTTTTTTTGCTTCATTGTTCTACTACAATGTTTCTATTTATGTAACTTCCTTAACTTTTTTGGACACATCTAAATTGTCAGTATGAAAAACACTGTTTTCACTGAAACAATGCTTTTCACTGAAAATCGCCTATCATAATGTTGTAATAAATGCCTATAACTTGCTTAGGGATTGTTGCATGTAGTCAAAATTACATCTGGAAATGTAAAATATCCAAGTACAGCTTTCTAAAGGAAAAAATCCAAACTTCAGGAGGATTTGTTTGAGTTGAGTAAAAAAAAATCACTACAAATATGCTGCCGTTTTTCTTAAATCTGGTAAATTCATCCATTCTAAGACATATTAAATGTAAAAATGGATTATTTAAATGAGATAAATTAAAACTTCAAGTTCTCCTGATAAAAATGATATATGACACTTGATGCTGACTGCTATAATGGGTTAGAAAAACAAAGAAAAGAAAAAGCGGTGCAGGTGCTCCAAAAATGGTCTAGGTCTTTAAGGGTTAAGTGCCAGAACTTCAGGGAATATATGCTGTCATGAGGTGTTTAAAGCTCCTTTTGTGCTGTACTGGTGTCTGGAGGTCAAATAATTGACTTTATTATGTGTCCGGTAAACACAAACTGGCCAACCGGATCCTTCCAGACTCCAGCGAAGAAAATGACGAGTTTGAGAAGCATCCGAGCCGTGCCGTAAATCTGGGGCTTTTGTCCTCAGGAATTCTTCCTCTCTTATTAGATCATTTACTAAATTGCCTTAAAGTAAGAGTAGAGATTAATTAAAACATAGTACATTTAATTTGATGTCATGTACAAATTTGGTACAGTAATTGAAAATTACCCTCAATTTATTAGTTTTAGTTTCAACAGAAAGACTGCGAGAGAATGAGACATGTAGTACGTTTTATACATTTGATATAAGTTTAAAGAAGATTTACGTTTCTTATGCTTACCAAGCATTTATTTGATTAAAAAAAAATACAGTAATATTGTGAAATGTTCATTTCTATGTGAAAATATAGTGTAATTTATTCCATCATTTCTCCAGTCTTCAGTGTCACATGATCCTTCAGAAATGATTTGCTGCTCAAGAAACATTTCTGATTATCAATATTGAAAACAGTTCACGTTTTAGTGTTAAACCATGATACCATTATTTTGATAAATCTACACTGTAAAAAAAATATTTTCAAGATTTGTTATCACATTTTTTCTTTTGTCAAATCAACTTAAATAATTTATTTAGTTCAGATAACTTATTATTTTGAGTTTCTGATGATTAAATCAATCTCCTTGATTGTATTAACTCACTTTTTCCAGTTCAATCAACTTAAAATTTTAAGGCAACCAGGTTACTTAATTTTTTAAGTTAAACCAGTGTATAAAAAATAAAAATAAAAACATGGATAGTCTGATTTATTTGAACTTTTTCTGAAGAAAAAAATATTAATGAACATCGTTTGGCAAGGAAGAACAGTAATACATGTCAAACAATGTTATTGTAATGCTACGTGTACAAAAAACAGCAGTTCTTCCTCTCTTATCGATTGTGTTAGTCGCTCTGGCCCGTATTTCAGTCTTTCTGCTCACCAGATCAACTGCATAAGAGGGAGATTGGTGAATATTCAGCGTTCCTGTGCCTCTCTCTCTCTCTCTCTCTCTCTCTCCGCTCTCCCATGACTGTTGCAGAGGTATTGATTATTTCGGATTCTGATTATCTAAAAGGCCTTTGCTACTGTAGGCATTGGATTTATTTTGGTTTAATTATTAATGGGGCTGAGCTTACAGTAAGCAGTCGCCTTCTATCAGATCATGACGGATTACATGGTTAATATTCAACAGCGTATATTTATTTATGTATGTACTAAGCTGTGTATATGAGTGTTGGCAGGCCTCTCTAAAGCGTCTCTCTGTCTTTGTCTCTGTAGAGGGAGCTAAACTCAGTGGCGGCCCAACTCGCAGGCCGACAGGAGGAGAGCGAGGACTCCCATAAACACCTGGTGGAACTGAGCCGTGAATTCAAGAAAAATGTCCCAGAGGTGAGCGAGAGATGGTTCAGTGTGTTCAGGGACGTTCATCTCGTCAGTTTCATGTTGATAGACCCTTTCAAGGTTTCTCGACTCGATATTTCAGCTATTACGTTTAGTCTTTTTGACCTGTTTGTCTGCTCCTCCCCTCATTTTCTGCCTTCCTTCTCTTCTCTGAACTCCTCCTCTTCTCATATATCAAAACTTTTCGAGCCAATCACCTGATCCATAAATGCCATGTGACCATTTGTTCTGGAGCGTTAAGAAATGACATCATGACAATAGTGATTGGCTGAATTTGGCACTAATGTATGTTGCATAAATAAATTTACCTTAATATTTATTAAAATTATTTATAAATATATTTACATGTACATAAATTATTTTATATAATTTACAGAAATTTCCATTCAATTTTTTCAAGATATATTTACTGTAATATATATGTATATATGTATGTGTGTGTATGTGTGTGTATATATATATATATATATATATATATTAGGGCTGTCAAACGATTAATCGCGATTAATCGCATCCAAAATAAAAGTTTGTATTTACATAATATATGTGGGTGCATTGTGTATAATTATTTTATATATATAAATACACACACATGCTTGTATATATTTTAGAAATATTTTCATGTATATACTGTATATAGATTTATAGAATTTATATATTATATATAAATATAAATATTTTACATATACATAATATTTTTTTCTTAAATATACATGCATGTGTGCTTGTTTATATATATACAAAATAATTATACACAATACACCCACATATATTATGCAAACACAAACTTTTATTTTGGATGCGATTAATCGCGATTAATCATTTGACAGCCCTAATATATATATATATATATATATATATATATTTATTTATATATATTTTATTATCAAAAATAATCTTTAAAAAAAGTTATCATGGTTTCACACTGAAACTGTTTTTAACATGGATAATAATCATAAACGTTTCTTTATATTAGAGTGATTTCTGAAGGATCATGTGACACTGAAGACTGGAGTAATGATGCTGAAAATACAGCTTTGATCACTTTAATCATTTTAAAATACATCCAGATGGAAAACAGTTATTTTAAGTTGCAATAATATTTTACAATATTACTCTTCAAATAAAGGCATCCTTGGTGACTAGAAGAGAAATCATTACATCGTTTCTCTGCTGTTGTCTCCGCCCCTTTTGTTAGTCTCCGCCCCTTTCCACTGTCTGTTCCTCCCCTCTTGTCCTTCCTATTCATTTTTCTTCTTTACTCCTCATATTCCTGAGCTTCTGTAGTTTCTGAACGTCTCGTTCGTGTGTTTATTTCTCTGAAGGCATGCAAACCAATTCATTCGTCCAGTTTCAGCACTAATAGGGTAACACAGAGTATTGACGTTACTTTTCACATCAGCACCTGAATAAAACCCCGTTCCCATGGAGAAAAATCCTCCGCTGAATGTCTTTAAGTTCAAGTCCCTCTCCGTTTAAATTCCCGTCACTCTAATCCGGAGCTGCGCCTCCAATTCCTCTTCAGGTAAAGGTGACGTCGGGAGAAATGCTTGTCACGCATCTCTCATTATACGCGCTTTGACATTTTACATTTTTCCTCGTTAGCGGCCTTTTCCTTTTTCGGAAGCTGTGTTTGAAGCTTCGACACGATCCACCGTCAGACCTCTCGCCCGACTCTTCGTTTGCTTTCCACTTGACAGAAATGTCATCAGTGACAATCAGAATTTGCCAGATTAGCAAACGTCTGGAGCGGACGGGGGATCATGCTAGCCGGATCAGTACAGAACGAACAGAAACAAAGCCTCATTAATGGATTGACAGGAGAATCAGATGAGTAATTTGTGTTAATGGAGAAGTCATCAGTGTCTTCAGTGAAACATCTATAAACAACAAATGTGGCGTACTGTTGATTACCTCTGACGATTTTTAAATATTTTTATTTAAAAAAATATACAATCTAGCCTGATATTCTAGAATATACAATTCTCTCCCCAAAACTATTTTTTCAAAGTCATTCACAAAAATGTCAAGTATCTTAATGACCCCAAAAATAGTCAGGCAAAATATAAAGGTTTTATTTTTTTATTTTTCCGCAATATGGCCTGTTCTTGACCAGGGTTTGTGAGATTCTTCAGTTTTGTCTGTTTTTGTGTTTTTAGGAGGTGTTGGAGATGGTTTCGCCCGTCCTCAAGAGTTTCCAAGCTGAGGTCAGTCAACACTCACGTCAGATCCACCTCAAAAATGAGACTGTTCATGCTGGAGAGATTTGGAGAATTGATACATTACAGTGCCCCTATTATGCTATTTTAAATGTTACTAGTTTTGTTTTGAATGTCTCCTACAGTAGATTTACCTTCATCCAAGGTCAAAAAACACTTTATTTCTCTCATAATATGCATGCAGCATCAGCTCTTTTCTCACAGTCTCTGAAACGATTCGATGAAGGATTTGGTCTCCTTTCTGAGAGTCTACTCTGCTCTGATTGGTCAGATGGCCCAGTCTGTTGTGATTGGCCAGTCAGAAGAGAGTAGACCAGATGACACAGTCTGTTGTGATTGGTCTACTCTGCTCTGATTGGTCAGAAGGCCCAGTCTGTTGTGATTGGTCTACTCTGCTCTGATTGGTCAGATGGCCCAGTCTGTTGTGATTGGTCTACTCTGCTCTGATTGGTCAGATGGCCAGTCTATTGTGATTGGTCAGATGGCCCAGTCTGTTGTGATCAAGGTTATTATAGTTTTGCATTTTTCATTAGTTTTTATTTTTATTTCGTTTTGAATTTTTGTTTTCAAATTCAGTTTAGTTTTAATTAGTTTTAAAAGTGGGTTTGCTAGTTTAGTTTAGTTTCTATTTTTTGAAAATGCTTAGTTTTAGTTTAGTTTTTATTAGTTTTAGTGTTAGTTTTAGTCTTTTTTTTGTAGTTTGGATTATTTGTCAGGGGCAAGGTTGAAAAAGGTCAGAAAAAGAATTGTGTAACAATAACTCAACAAAAACATCATACAATTTTAGAAATATCTATTCAACATTAAAACCAGTACATAAAATGAAGCCTACAATGTGAAAATCCTTTACCGTAACAATCTAGATATCTTCTATAAAAAATCCCACAGCTTTACAATTTCCACACCTTATACTAAATTTACCCTATACAACACTAATCTGGACAGAAGCAGCAAACAGTCAGTGTAAGAGTAAAATAATGACATAACATTATTTAATATTTGAATCACAGCTTATAGAGTTTTGACACCGACAACCAAGCAGCAAGGCTGCAACCAGGGTCTGAAAACTAGTGAGGTAATAATGGTTAATAATTACCTCACAATAATTAGTAATATAATAATGGTTAGGCTATTGGACCCACATTTCCCCATGGACATGAAGGGATTTTGTTTTAAAGGAATTTACCATATATATATATATATATATATATATATATATCATATATTAACTATTAAATGGCACTTTCTGGAGAGTTTTGTGCAAAGAAACAGAATAAAAGTAGGTCTAAATAAATTGCTAGTTGAATAGATTGCTAGTTGAGAAACACTACTTTAATTATTGCATTTATGATATGTGAAACGTTAACAAAGCATGAGCTGTCTTCCAGCTGGCCAGTAAGGTTATTTTGGCAAATTTTATTCTGTAACATACAGATCTGTATTATGCTATTGTTTTTACAGATAATCACAATGATCATTGTGTTTGGAGTGGTTGCCTTGTGCAATTGCAGTTTGTCAATAAAAAAAAAAGCTTTTTTTATTAACGCAGACAGTAAAATGTTGCCAGATATTGCTACGAAAAACAAGCAATAATATAATAACAATTCGAAATTACTTCAAAGCTTGTGTTTTGGAAATAAGATTAATATATCACTAACACTAACATGCAACTTTCCACTATAATAACTTCCTAAAGTGTCACAAAAAATCCGAAAAACAGGTCCAGAAGATTACCGCACCATTCGATTAGGTGGATCTGGCAACACAGAGGCTACACTAGCGCCCTCATTCACATTAGCCGCGTTTCCACTGCCGGGCTAGGGCTGGGCCAGAGCTAACAGCGAGCCGGGCCGAGCTAGTGGCCTCGGGCCTCAAGCACCGGGCTTGCGTTTCCACTGCCGGGCCAGTAGCCCCACAGCGCTGCCCCAGACCCCACCCCTAACACGCCTTTCAGGATCAAACGTCATAAAACCCAACCCATTTCAGCGGGTATTATGAATTAATTTATTTTTTAAATTAGGAAGATAGCATGTATATTAACTCAACTGCCGTAGTGGCTACAATAGTGTCCCGAGACCAGTATACAGGCGATTCTCCATTTCAAGCAGCGATTTTTTGCGCGATATAACAAGTAGGCTAGGGCTGCGGGCACGTTTTCAAGTTATTCATTAATCGTTAACCGAGGCCCATCGGTTAATACTCGGTGCATAGTGTGCGCGCCGCAACCTCGAGATACGGAGTTAATTTTTTAACACCTTTAATAACTGATTGGACCCCATTTGAAACGAAATTAATTTATAGAAATAAAACGCAGCAAGTACGGAGCAGTTAAAGCCCCATTTCCATCACCCTTCAAACTGAAATTGCCAATTGAAAATAAGCAAAACGTCCATTTCACAAAAACTCCGTGTCTGCAAATAATAATAATAATAATAATAATAACCATCATCATCATTATTGTAACATTTTATTAGGCTGCATATGTAGAAGACGCCTTTATCCAAAAAAGGAATAGAGCACAAATAAACACAATATTTTTTGACAAATATCAGCGCATATCCAGTGTGTGTGTAGCACGCACTGATGGCTGCGAGACGCCCATGTGAACAGTTTCATTGCATTCTTTCAGTGGAAACAACTTAAAATACTCTTTAATTTCTGGTCATACAGAAAATAATAATACATTATTCGCAAATAAATTATTTATAACAAGAAAACGTTGTGCTTTAACAATTAATCAAGGCGCGCTTCATGATCTCCGTGAACTGAAGCGTGAGACCTGAAACAGCCACCGCATTCGAATTTGTTCGTTTAAATTGGACATTAAAGCTTAAAGCTTTAAATGTCCAATTTAAAACGAACAAATTCGAATCGAAAGCCAATATCTTCTCCGTTTATGTAGCTTAATTTCTCTCTAAATGTGCATCCGGAGATGGAGATATGTTTTTAGCCGAAAATCATTTAGAAAACAATAGTTTATTAATAAACAATTAATGCCTCGTTATTTTATATTATTTTATTATCAGACACATTTATTATAGCCTATAAATCACCCATAAATCCCCTTTCTGTAGGCTGTGGTTACGGCTCTTCTCATTCAGCACTGCGGGGAAAATATCATTTCCAGGTTCTAATTTGGCCTCAGAAAACCAGTAAAATATATATTTTTTCATATTAATTTGTCAAATAATTTAAATGTTTAAGGGGCAAAAAAATCAAACAAATATCTGAAAATTCGTCGATATGTAGCTATATATAGCCTATATATTGTTGCGCAGCATTTGGCATAGGCCTACAGTTCAAATTAAAATGTTATGCAATTTTAAACGGTTAATCGGTTAAACATGGACACCCCTATGTGCATTTTGCTTCAGATCATAACGTTCCATAACACCGATAAACTCCGCCTTTTACCTTGAGCACGCCTCTAGCCCGAGCTGGCCCCTTCTGGCCCAAGGTATTCGACGGGCCAGAAATCCTGGCCGTTGGCCCCGAGGAAGCCCCGATCAAGCCCCGGAAGTGACAGTGGAAACGCGACTGGCCCTGGCACGCACTAGCACGGCCCGGCCCTGGCCCGGCAGTGGAAACGCGGCTAATGCGTTCTCAAGCCCCCTTCACTGCGCTAGCTTCTCGCTGCAACATGAATTGCAAACACACAGGTGGTCTAAACATGGCTAATTAATCATTCACATAATCATTCAATCATGCCATTCCATTTTTGAATGTAAAAAAAAATGGCCGAGGTCCGGACTGGTTAGCCACGGCCATGCCCACTGCCCAGCAGCATTTTACCTCAAAATTGCAACCAAGTCAGTAACTTTCTAACGAAGGCTCAATCGCTTCTCGGGTTGACATTAACACACTTACAGAATTGTATTAAGAATTTAACATATTTTTACACCACCTTTTAATGTGTGATTGTGTAAAATGTTCATCATGAGATACCAACCTTTCGCGAACTTGCTTTTAACATTGATCGAACCCTCGTTTTCATAGAGACGCGGTGTGCATTGCACGGAGGGGAGGGGCTGTGTGTGTGCGTGCATTTGAGAGAGAGACGGAGGGAGAAAGCGTTACAGGGAAATGAAATGCAACGAATACACTGCGTGTTTTAAATAGTGTTAAAGACGAAAACTAAGGACATTTGCTCTATAATTTTATTTTATTTTAGTTAGTTTTGCAAACACACATTACAGTTTTAGTTAGTTATAGTTTTTTTGTAATGGCTCGTTTTTATTTTTATTTCAGTTAACGACAATGTTTTTTCCCATCTAGTTTTCGTTTTTTCGTTAGTTTTCGTTAACGATTATAACCTTGGTTGTGATTGGTCTACTCTGCTCTGATTGGTCAGATGGCCCAGTCTGTTGTCATTGGTCTACTCTGCTCTGATTGGTCAGATGACCCAGTCTGTTGTGATTGGTCTACTCTGCTCTGATTGGTCAGATGGCCCAGTCTGTTGTGATTGGTCTACTCTGCTCTGATTGGTCAGATGGCCCAGTCTGTTGTGATTGGTCTACTCTGCTCTGATTGGTCAGATGGCCCAGTCTGTTGTGATTGGTCTACTCTCCTCTGATTGGTCAGATGACACAGTCTGTTGTGATTGGTCTACTCTGCTCTGATTGGTCAGATGGCCCAGTCAGTTGTGATTGGCCTACTCTGCTCTGATTGGTCCGATGGCCCAGTCTGTTGTGATTGGCCTACTCTGCTCTGATTGGTCAGATGATCCAGTCTGTTGTGATTGGTCTACTCTGCTCTGATTGGTCAGATGGCCCAGTCTGTTGTGATTGGCCTACTCTGCTCTGATTGGTCAGATGATCCAGTCTGTTGTGATTGGTCTACTCTGCTCTGATTGGTCAGATGGCCCAGTCTGTTGTGATTGGCCTACTCTGCTCTGATTGGTCAGATGGCCCAGTCTGTTGTGATTGGCCTACTCTGCTCTGATTGGTCCGATGGCCCAGTCTGTTGTGATTGGTCTACACCTTACAGAA